TATTCTGTCTCTCAGTGTTACAATACACCGAACATTCGATTTTTAGACCGATCATTTCTTTGTGAGGGGCGAACATTCAAAATCAGCAGGGGATCAAATACTTACTTCCATCACTGTCAGGGCTCCCGATAAGACCAGAGATGTGTGAACTGACACAGGGAAACGCAGGCTCAAGTTTGGTGTAACAATATAATTTATTAAGGGTTATACACAAATATAATGCACAATATAACAAAACCAAACCTCCAACTGATAATGGAATGTACACAGATAAGAGCAGTCAGGGCTGGTGAGGTGGAGTGGTCAGGCGGGCCGGGTCAGGAATCATCGGGCAGACAAGACACAAAGGAGTAGGCAGAGCGTAGTCAGATGGGCCGGGTCAGGAACAATCAGGTAGACAAGGTACCAAAGTACAAGGTACCAAAGGAGCAGGCTGGAGAGTGGTCAGGAATAGCTGAAGTCAGGACAGGCGGAGTTCATTCAGGGTCAGGATCAAGCAGAATCAGGAATCAGGCAGGAAGCAGACAGGATGCAGGTACAGGGGCTCATGGGAAACATACACCAAGGCACTGACTGCAGGTCTGGCCATTCCTTAAATACATCTCCTGCAATCAGCCTCAGGTAATGGCCGACTGCAAGAGTGAGCTTCTGGTTGCTGAGAGCACCCACTGGCCAGCCCTGGTACTGCAGCTCACAAGGCAGGTGAGTCCCACCACCATTGGCAAGTCCATTCCTGACAATCACTGTATGCTATAGATCAGGTGTGGGCAACTGTGGCTCTCCAGCTGTTGTAGAATTTCAAGTCCCATGAGGCATTGCAAAACTGACAGTTACAAGCATGACTCCCAAAGGCAGAGGCATGACGGGACTTGTAGTTCACCAACAGCTGGAGGTCCACAGTTGCCCTGTAGATAGTTACTGTACATAGCTGGTAAGGTTGAATAAAGACAGTGGTATATCCGGGTCAACCTGTGTGTGTGTTTATGTTGCTACCAATTTCCATATTCCCGTACTTTGTGTTCACTGAGAAACACATCCAAACGTTTTTATCTACACTCCCTGCTGACACCACCAACTGTGGAAGGGAGATCCACTTCCCTAGCACTCTAACAGTAAAGAACCCCTACACTTAATATTGAACCACTTCTCATGCAACTTGTTTGGCCACATGCCTTCTTTGGAGATCTTGGATTGAGTAATTTCCTTTCAATAACTCGAAAATTATTAAAGTATTTTACAAAATAAAACATTATTTCAAATATACTGTAACTAAGGTAAATATGAGACGCTAATAGACTCCTGACTGTAGGGAGGGGGGGTGGTAATAATGGGGTAAATGGAATGTGCATGTATACCTATTTTTTTATAAATGTGGTGTTCTTTTTGTACTGGAAAATCAAATAAAAGTTAAATAAAAAATACTCCTGACTGTAAATATTCCTGACTGTATTACAGCATTGTATTTCTAGATTTTGAAAGCAGTTTAAAGGAAGGCTGTGACAGTTTGCTGTTCTGTTTTGCACTTTAAAAAAAACTGGGTTGATTTAATAAAGGCAAATAGGCAAGGGAATTTTCCCTTCACTTATTGAAGGGGTGAAACGATGACTTCCATCATCCAGTCATGTGCAAGCAAACATACCAATTTTTTTTTTATTTTCCTTGCACATGATTGGGTGTACGTTGCAGAGTGAACTTTCACCAGATTCACTAAGCTAAGGGAAAAATTCCCTCGCAGAGTGAACATTACATTGCAAAATGAAAATCCTTTGTGCCTTTAGTAAATCAACTCAATAGGCATCGTGCTGTAGAAAAGGAAGCTTAAAGCTGAACTCTGGGTGCTCAGGCACTTATCCCCCTCCCCCTCCAACTAATTGTTGGGTTAGCACCAAAAAATGCTCACCTAAAGCATGTAACGTGGCTCCCAGTCTGTTCTTTTTTCCAACAGAGAACGAGGAGGTTGGTATTTGAGTGTCTAGGTCACAGCCTGGGTGACGTGGACACTTCCTATTGTCTATCAGGGGGTGTCCTCAGTAGAGAGATGACTCCTGGAAGAGGCAACCGGTCTACTGCAGCACTGGATCCTTCAACTGGGACTCCCATCACCGGGAACATGACCGGAGAATTTTGGTGGATATCTAAATAAATCTAAAGGTATATTTATTTAGGATGCATGGGTTTGGGGGGGCAGGGTGAATGTTACAGGTGATCTCCTAGATTGTAAGCTCCAAGGATCAGGGCCCTCCTATCCCTCTTGTATTGAACTGTATTGTTGCTGTATTGTCTCCCGTTATATTGTAAAGTGCTGAGCAAACTGTTGGCACCATAAATCCTGTATAATAATAATAATAATAATATATAAATCCTGTATAATAATAATATATAAATCCTGCATAATAATAATAATAATACATAAATCCTGTATAATAATAATAATAATAATATATAAATCCTGTATTATAATAATAATAATAATATATAAATCCTGTATAATAATAATATATAAATCCTGTATAATAATAATAATATATAAATCCTGTATAATAATAATAGTAATATATAAATCCTGTATAATAATAATAATAATATATAAATCCTGAATAATAATAATATAATAATAATGATAAATAATATATAAATCCTGCATAATAATATGTAAATCCTGTATATAATAATAATAATAATAATATATAAATCCTGTATAATAATAATAATATATAAATCCTGTATAATAATAATAATAATAATAATATATAAATCTTATATAATAATAATAATATATAAATCCTGTATAATATTAATAATAATAATAATATATACATCCTGTATAATAATAGTAATAATATTAATAATAATATATAAATCCTGTATAATAATAATAATAATATATAAATCCTGTATAATAATAATAATATATAAATCCTGTATAATAATAATAATATATAAATCCTGTATAATAATAATAATAATAATAATAATATAAATCCTGTATAATAATAATAATAATATAAATCCTGTATAATAATAATAATAATTGGCATGCCCGAATATGGGCTTTAATGCTCTAATACAATTTCTCTCTCTGCAGATACAGAAAAGTGATCATGAAAGAGAAAAATGGCACAGCAATCTCATTTTTTTTTTCTTTTGGGATTTCCGGACATTGGTGGCTTCAAGAATCTTCTCCTCATTTTTATTCTCATAGCTTATACTGCTGCACTTTTTATTGATGGATTGATTATTGTAGCAGTCTCAACCAGAAAATTTGCTGCCTCCCCTATGTACTATTTTCTTAAAAACTTCTTGTGTTCGGAAATCTTGTTAGTGACCCTCGTTGTTCCCAACATGTTACGGGTCATGTGGTTGAATGGAGCCACCATCTGTGTCTCATGCTGCATCGCTCAGAGTTACCTGTACTGTGCCTCAGGTAGTACAGAAAGCTATCTTCTCTCAGTGATGGCCTATGACCGGTACTTGGCCATATGTAAGCCTTTGCTCTATAACAAAATTATGAGCCAGAATCTTCAGAATTCCCTGGTGATCTTCTGCTGGATGCTTGGCTTTATGTCCACATTGGTAACGGTGGGTTTTGTGGCTCAGCTTACATTCTGTGGACCCAACACCATTGACCATTACTTCTGTGATCTTGCTCCTTTTGTTGATCTTGCTTGCTCAGACACTTCATATTTTGAGATAGAAATATTAATCCTCTCCTTTCCCATCATGATCATACCATTTGTTTTGGTTTTGGGGAGCTACAGTTGTGTTGTCCTATCCATTCTCCGTATGTCCTCTATCACTGGGAGGAAGAAAGCTTTCTCAACCTGTAGCTCTCACCTCTCTGTAGTGACAATTTATTTTGGGTCCCTAATAATCATTTATCTGGTTCCATCAAGCTCTCAAACTCTAAACAAGATGGTGTCAATGCTTTACACAGTGGTGACACCCTTGTTTAACCCCTTCATATATAGTATAAGAAATCAGGAAATCCGAGCAGTCATGTGTGCAATGATGTCCTCACCGCAGATACATAACAAGAGTTAAAAATATTGATCAAATACCACTGAAAGAAAGCCCTATTTGTAGAAAAAAAATTACATAAATTTGCATGACCGCGCAATTGTCAGTTAACCTCCCTGGAGGTATTCCCGAGTATAGCTCGGGGCATAGACGTCACCACGTACCCGGACTCCGATGCATGGCGAGTACAGGCAGTGTGAGTCCACACGCCGCTCAGGCTGCACATATTTTATACAGAAAGCGCTTTGATGATTTTTAACTTGTAAGTGCAAAATTGGCACCAATAAATTTTTATGCTCATCAAGGATAAGGCACTATTCCTTTCTCTTTGTCCTCTGGCGATACGCTGAGTAATAGGGTGAAAATATACAACAACCCTTGGAGGGAAGACCTTACCCAGGATCCATTCACAGCAGAACAGTAGGAGCAAAGAGGAGAATCATTCAGTCTTCTACTAATAGAAGAACACACAAGTAACTCATTTCATTCTGAGAAGTTTTATTTTGGAAATCATGTGAACAGTCCATTTGCAATATATAGTCCCACTTAGATGGGATTTAATATATGATGGGATTTTCAACTCTACTGAACATTTATGAATTATTCATTTCAAATTTATTTATTTTTATCAATTAATATTGATTATTTTTATCAATTAATATTAATTATTTTTTAGATTATTTATTTATTTAATTGATGTACATTAATGAGTTGCACATTTTATATATTTCTATATTTGGAGAAATTAAGGGTAATTATTTATAAATTATAGAATTATTATTTATTAAAAATTGATTTTATTTATTTATTCACGGTTCTAATATAACATTTTCCTTTTTAATTTGTCATTTTTTGTATATTCAATGATAATATAGCTAGGAGCTCGCGAACTTACCTTAGAACATAGATTTATAGTGGCTCATAGGACATTTTTATTTTATAGCTCGGGGTAAAGTTTCAGCACCACAAGCGGTAACCCCGAGCTACACTCCGGGATCCCTTCTGCACTTACCTTGTCCTGCGTTCCCGCGATGTCCCTCCTGCAGTGTCCGCTGTAATGTCCTCCGGCCGATGCCGGCATCTGTCTTCCGGGTTCCGTTCCCTGCGACGTCGGGACGTACGGGGGACAGAACTGACGGGAAATTTGAAAGTTGTAAAAGTGACATTCACTAAATTCACGAATATCACATAGTATAACATTCCTGTATCAAACCATTTCACATACATTTTGTCCCGAGTGCTTTGTCCGGCGCCCTGCCTGCATTTTTACTGTTCTTTCTGCCTGGAAACTGAGAAACGTCCATGGCGTCCAAAAAGCGCCCCTTTAGGTCACACGCGGTTTTAGACCGACTAGAGAACAGCGATAGTAAATCAGAACTACTTTGCAGAATTGAGTGATAATGATTCGTGGGGGAAATTCCTCATTAGACACTGAAAACGATTCTGCGACTGAGCTCAGCGATGTGCGAACTTGGCGCTATATTTCACATTTCAGTGTTTTTGGTTTGATTATATTATTGAATTAAATGTATTATTATTATTATATTATTTTTTATGATTATTTATTATATTATAATTTATGATTTCGTGTTTCAAATTTTATCATACCCGGGATGTTTAATAGACTCTTGTTCAGACAGATTTCAGTGAGTTATTCCTAAAAATTACAGGCCTACAATAAAAAAAAAATACATATTTCCATGCAAAAAAAAATATGTACCGCTTTGAGCACAGAAATACTGACACAATCAGACAAAATATGACTTTTATCAAGACATAATGTTATATAGCCAAACAGCTCAGCAGAACCGGATGTTAAGAGTTAATTTTGTCTTGGTTAAACCTTCAAGAATTCTAGTTAAAGAAATGAAGAGAACAGGGAATTAAGACTTTTCCAAGACAATGGGATGTTTAAACTGTCAACAAGGACTATTTGTATATGGAAGTGAGAAGAATGCATCTACAGAAAGTCAAACACATAGGACTCTGACTTGTAAACATTTCAACAATAATGAGACGGGAACTCAACTGTTTGGAAGCTTAACCAAAACCTGTAGAGTGTGATGAACCAACAAACCTCTGAAACTATTACTATCTACTATTGTTCACCAAGGGTGAAAGCATTAACAATTGTTTACTATGAGTCCGATACAAAGGGCTAGGCAAACAGAGATTTTTTTCCCTACAACAGAGGAAATGTTGATGCTGAAACCAAGGGGTGAAATTCAGGACATTTAAGTTTAAAAGTTCACTGTATATCATTACAAAAATGTACTACAAAAACAGATTATAAATAAGATGTCATAGACTTTAAACACCACTAAATACTCAGCAATGGGAACTATATATCACTAACTTGAGTATTGAGATGATGGGAAGTAAGATGTATTATAAACTAGCATTAGTTACATGTCTTATCAGGAAACAAACAGGATGATACTTCAAGGAGGAATAACCGAATATACACCTATATTCCATGGTCCCTATTTAGAATATCATAGGTATGATCACTGCTATATCTGGATAGAGCCGTATATTTTATTCCTGAAATTACCTGAAGATTCCACCCAAGGTATGAGTCATCTCAAATACTCACATTGTTCTGTGATACATGACCGCCACCTGGCGGGCAGGTGAGAAATAGCTTATGTACACACATTTCTCAACTAGCCAATCAGGAAGCCTGGTGGGAAGGTATCTTAGAACAATGGACTAGTGGATATAAAAAGCCCATGTGCTGTAACATAAAAAAAAAAAAACCTCATGAAAAAGAAGAACCCTCATAAGACCTCATGGAAAGACCTGACATCTGAAGAAGATCTCTGCTGAAATAACTACTCTTCCATCTTTTCAAACTTCCTAAAACTTTAAACCTCTAAACTTATAACTTCCTACATTCTCCCCTATTGAATCTATCACTTGCCTATATATCAGTCTAAAGGCGTTCCACTGCCAGCTAAATCCACGGGAGAGTTGCCTAGTCTGACGTCCGGGTGTGGTGAGATGTTTATTTGATTTGTATTAATTACTTTCTCTGTTGTGTAGAATCATAAAAATTACCGTAGTGTATTACAACAATATTGGATAGTTAGATATATGTAGTCAGATACTGTGTTACTGTTAAAAAAAATTGTTTATTGCCATATTATAAATTTTTCCATATTCATAATTTATTGAATATTAATAACCAGAGTATCATATATCAAGGGCTTACTTCTTGCAAGCCTATGGCCACGGCATGTAAGAATATAACCTTTGAGATATTCGAAATTATTAATTATTAATAAATTTAATAAATATCATATCATTTAAATTTGTGATTGATGTAATTAGTTAGAGACATTATTAGTGTGTCTTACATTGGTAGGATATATTTTTGATTGTGTGTACCAATATTCATTTATCACCAGTCTTTTGTGTTTTGTGTTAATATATATATAATTTTTGTACATAAATAAATTTTTATATTTATCTATTATAAGGCAAATTTTGTGTGTATGGTACGAAATCATATTGGCTAAAAGAATTCAAGGTATAATAATAAGTGGTGATCAAATTATCAAGGTGTCCAAATTATTGGTTTACTAAATATTTGCCGTATTTTAACGGCTGGAGGCACTGTAATATTTCAATATACAGTTGTGTCCAAAATTATTCAACCCCCACTGAAATTGAGTGTTTTGGCCAGTTTGACATTGCTTTTGATCATTCAGTCATCTTGCTTACATTTACATTAAAGAGGCACTTGTAGGTCAGACAAATATAAACATAACAGTTATAATGAAATAACCACAAATGTCTTTTCTGTGCTCACAGCATTATCAGTTTTATTCAACCCCCAAGTGACATTCAATCTTAGTACTTAGTACAGCATCCTTTTACAGTTATAACAGCTTTTAAACGTGAAGCATAGCTTGACACAAGTGTCTTGCAGCGATCTACGGGTATCTTCGCCCATTCTTCATGGGCAAAGGCCTCCAGTTCAGTCACATTCTTAGGCTTGCGCACTGCAACTGCTTTCTTTAAGTCCCACCAGAGGTTCTCAATCGGATTTAAGTCTGGTGACTGCGATGGCCACTCCAAAATGTTCCAGCCTTTCCTCTGCAACCATGCTCTAGTGGACTTGGAGGTATGCTTGGGATCATTGTCCTGTTGAAAGGTCCAACGTCTCCCAAGCCTCAGGTGTGTGACGGACTGCATCACGTTTCCATCCAATATCTCCTGGTACTGAAGAGAATTCATGGTACCTTGCACACGCTGAAGCTTCCCTGTACCTGCAGAAGCAAAACAGCCCCAAAGCATGATTGACCCTCCACCATGCTTCACAGTAGGCAAGGTGTTCTTTTCATCATAGGCCTTGTTCTTCCTCCTCCAAACATAGCGTTGATCCATGGGCCCAAACAGTTCTAATTTTGTTTCATCAGTCCACAGAACACTATCCCACAACTTTTGTGGTTTGTCCACATGGCTTTTGGCATACTGCAGTCGACTCTTCTTATTCTTTGGAGACAGCAAGGGGGTACGCCTGGGAGTTCTGGCACGGAGGCCTTCATTACGCAGTGTGCGTCTTATTGTCTGGGCTGAAACTTCTGTACCCACATCTGACAAATCTTTTCTCAGTTCCTCAGCAGTCACACGGGGACTTCTCTCCACTCTACGCTTCAGGTAGCGCACAGCAGTCGAAGTCAGCATCTTCTTTCTGCCACGACCAGGTAGCGTTTCAACAGTGCCCTTTGCCTTGAATTTGCGAATGATGCTTCCTAAGGTGTCTCTTGGTATGTTTAACATCTTTGCAATCTTCTTATAGCCATTGCCCTTCCTGTGAAGAGAAATCACCTCTTCTCTTGTCTTCCTGGACCATTCTCTTGCCTTCACCATGTTTGTAACCACACCAGTAAATGTCTAGAAGGAGCTGAGTATCACAGTCATTTTAAAGCTGCCTAATTGGTGCTTATTATGCTTGATTGCTGCTCGGTGACATCCACAGGTGTTTTCAATACCTGATGGAAAGCACCTGTATGAACCTCTGTTCTTCAGAGTGGTAGTCTTTAAGGGGTTGAATAATTGTGGCAATGAAGAAACCACATAAGAACCATTTACTACTGTATTACATAAACAATTGATGTCATTTTAGTTGCATTTGGGTAGTTACAACGTCCTTGTAGGATTTGATTCTGAATACAATTCCAAATGTACACTATAGTCCCTAAACCCCTTTACAGCATTGGGGGTTGAATAATTTTGGACACAACTGTATATCCTTACATAAACCACCACAACAGGTTAAAGCTGAACTCTGAGTGAACAGGCACTTCTCCCCCTCCAACTAATTGCTGGGTTAAAAAAGCTGCTACCAGTGACAAAAATACTCACCTAAATCATGCGCCCTGGGTGCTGAGGTATTTCTATTTTATTTCCTGCAGAAAACTAAGAGGTCATTATATGGGTATCCATGTTGCTGCCTTGGTGACATGGACACTTCCTATTGGCTATCCAGTGGCAAGGTCCACAGAAGACAGCAGCAGAGAGATGACATCAGGAAAAGGCAACCAGCCTACTGCCACACTGGATTCACCAATTGGGACTCAGCTGGCAGAGTGTGGGACATGACTGGTGAACTTTGGTGAGTATAAAAAAAAATCTCAAGCTATTTATTAAAAAAAAATACTGCTGAATAGGTTTGAGGGGGCAGGAGAGATGGAACGGGGGAATTGGCATGCCTGAAGATGGTTTTTAATGCTATAAACAATTTCTCTTTGTGTAGATACAAACAAAATGATCATGAGGAAGAAAAATGGCAATTTTTTTTTTTCTTTGGGATTTTCAGACATTTGTGGATTCAAGACTGTTTTCTTCCTTTCATATAGCTTATGCTGCTGCACTTTTTAATGATGGATTGATTATCTTATTGGTCTCAACCAGAAAATTGTTGCTTCCCCTATGTACTTCTTTCTTAAAAACTTCTTATTTTCAGAAATGTTGTTAGCAATCATTGTTGTTCCCAATACACTACGGGTCATAAGGTTTAATGGAGCCACCATCACTATCCCATCCCATGGCTATCCCATCCCATGGCTATCCCATCCCATGGCTATCCCATCCCATCGCTATCCCATGGCTATCCCATCCCATCGCTATCCCATGGCTATCCCATCCCATCACTATCCCATCCCATCGCTATCCCATCCCATCGCTATCCCATCGCTATCCCATCCCATCGCTATCCC